TTTTAATACTCCATCTGCCTGGGTACCACCTAAAACCTTCTGCGGCGGGGGAGGGGGGGGTGTGCCACCAGGGTTCCAAGGAACCTTACTTTGATAAATAATGATATAGTGTCATTGGCTTTTAAAATTGGGCAGGATAATGGCAGTGCTCTCATTTCATTGCATGGAGCATATTCCTCCATCACTAACTGTTCCATTTCTCCTCCATTCTTCCATCACGAACTATGTTCTCTGGTCTTCAGCCTCTTTTTTGTGTGTACCCAACTCTTTCAATATGTGGTCTTTGCACACACTGAATCCTCTTCCCACTCTGAAACTCAGCTTCCAAATCTGCAAAATTCAGACAATGATAGTTCCTTTCCCATAGAGTTGTTGAGAAGGATTAAATGAGATAATGCTTTTTTTAATTGAAGTATATAGTTGATTTACAATATTGTGTTAGTTTCTGGTGTACAGAAAAGTGATTCAATTATATATATATATATATATACAATAATTCAGTTATATATATATATATATATATATATACACTAGATTACGTATAATATATATATAAATTATATTTATGATGTAATTAAGATGTTATGGAAAACGCCAAATGAACTTTTGTGGCCAACCCAATATTATATATATATATAGTCTTTTTCATTCTCTTCCATTATGGTTTATTACAGGATATTGAATATGGTTCCCTGTGCTGTACAGTAGGACCTTGTTGTTTATCTATTTTATTTATAGTAGTTTGTATCTGCTGATCTCAAACTCCTAATTTATCCCTCTCCCCCTTTCCCCTTTGGTCACCATAAGTTTGTTCTCTATGTCTGTGAGTCTGTTTCTGTTTTGTAAATAAGTTCATTTGTATCATATTTTAGATTCCACATATGAGTGATGATATATGATATTTGTCTTTCTCTTTCTGACTTGCTTCACTTAGTGTGATAATCTCTAGGTCCATCCATGTAGCTGCAAATGGCATGATTTCATTGTTTTTTTATGGCTGAGTAGTATTCCATTTTATATATATACCACATCTTCTTTATCCATTTATCTGTTGATGGACATTGAGGTTGTTTCCATGTCTTGGCTGTTGTAAATAGTGCTGCTGTGAACATTGGGGTGCATGTGTCTTTTCAAAGTAGAGTTTTCTCTGTATATGTGCCCAGGAGTGGGATTGCTGGATCATATGGCAACTCCGTTTTTAATTTTTTGAGGAACCTCCGTGATGTTTTCCATAGTGGCTGGCCCAGTTTACGTTCCCACCAACAGTGCAAG